CTCTACATACATAAATAAATAAATAACAAAATCTTTAAAAAAATTTTAAAAAAAGAAAGCATGCTTTTGGTACAAACTGGTTTTTTTTGGAGGGGACGCCAAAGTAAATTAAATGAAATTTAATTACTCAGTGAGTAGCTGCTCCATATTACACACACATACACCTACATACACACACTCACACACAACAAATACACCCTCACACCCTCACTCCCATGCACACACAGGCTACACACACACTCACATCACCTCCACACACAGGGTTGGACTTTATTTTCCCCACCTCATGTACTGAATGAATGAAGAAAATCAGCAGAGTGGCTTGTGTTTTTGAGAGCCTTTTCTGTACATCCTGGCATTGTGATGTTGCCGACGTGGCTTCTGCACACACCCCCCAACCCGCCAGCACGTGGAAGCCCTCATCCCCACTGTGATGACATGTGCAGCCTTTGGGAGGTCATTAGGGTTAAACTGGGTCACGAGGATGGGGCTCTCCTGGGGGGGTCAGTGGCCTTGTATGAAGAAGACAACAAGGAACTGAGGAAAGGCCACACCAGCACAGTAAGCAAGTCGCCCTTCACAGCCCAAAAGGAGACCTTCACCAGAAACTGAACTGGCTGTCACCTCGATCTTGGACTCTCCAGCCTCTAGAACTGTAAGAAGTAAATGTCTGGGTTGCATAAGCCACCATGATATATTCTGATGGCAGCCTAAGCCGATCAAGACAGCCAATGGCCCACAAGACCCTGCACTATCTTGGCCCTTCTCCCTCGTTCTGATCACCTCTCTGACTCCTCTTCCCTGGCTCACTCTATTCAGCTATGCTGGCCTCCTGGCTACTCCCTGAATGCACAGAGCACAGTCCTACCCCAGGGCGTTTGTACTCCCAGCCATTCTGTCAGGTAAGCTTGTCTTCCATGGCAAAGGCTTTCCCTTCCTTCAATCCTTTATTCAACAGTCACCTTCTCAATGAGGCTGACCCGGAAAACTATTTAAAATGGGAACTCACCTTCCCCACCCAGCACTTCCCATCCCCCTTACATCTTCTACTTTGTAATTTTTTTCCATGCACTAATCACTTTCTACCTTACTGAATTCTTTATTGTTTATCATCCACTGCAAGAACATAAGCTCCAGAAGACAGAGATACTTGTTAGTTTTGTTCACCAATGGATCCAAGCGTCTAGAACTATGCCTGGCACAGTTTCCCCTCAATAAATATTTTTCAATTGAATGGATGAACCTCTTCACCCCTGGTGAAATGGCCTGCGAGCCGGGGAGCATGTCATACCAGCATTGCCCAGCAGATGGCAGCCGATGAACGCTAGAGACAGCTGAAAGCCAACACTGAACTCAAGGTTCCGCCGGATTAAATCCAAGATAATGACCCAGGAGACAAAATTGGGTTCAGCTCACTCTTAATGCAGACTTGTATTTGTGAGAAAGAAGTTGTATGTAGAAGGTGAGCGGCTGAGCTGATAAAGCTTTTATCTAATAAAGGAGGCTGTTTACCCACACAGTTCAGGGGGGAAAAAAATGAAAACAGCTGTCTGAGAAGAACCAAGGTCAGAGTCCTCCCACGGCGGGGCGGTGGGAAGGGGGTGAAGAAGGTTCGTGGCCCCGGATCTACATCACTCCTCCAAAGAATGGAAAAGTGACATTTGACCACTGCAACTGAGAGAAAGAAGTAACACTACAAATTAATACATCACCGGAGGTGGGGGGGAGGTGTGGTGGAGGTTTCCTGTCTTCCTCGGAACATTCCAGAAGATGCTCTATTACAAGAATCTTGAGTCTCCCTCCGCAATACGGTCCTCTGGGCGCCCGCCAAGCTGCGCTCTTTCTGGGTGCTTCTGTTACTCGTGTAATCAGGGAAGTGAATTGCAGCTGTAACCAACCCTTCAGAAGCCAAGTCCAGGGGAAACTGCCTTCGATCAAAGTCAGCATTTGTGTGAGTCAGGTCAGGGGGAGGCCCCCAGGCAGACATTGCTGACCCAGAACTCTCCAAGCCAGCGGGTCAGCCTGGATACTACCACGGTGACCACGACGACGAGAGGGGCATTTACCCGGCACCTCCTGCGCGCTGCGCGTGCGCGGAGGGCACCGCCCACAGGAGCTCATTGGCCCTCCGAGCAGCTCTCTGACGTCACACTGTTCTCGTCCCCATCTCACAGATGACGCGAGAGAAGGGACCTTTGCCCAGGGACCCGGCAAGTTGCACTCAAGCTCCCTCCCAACCACCGAGAGGGGGGAATCCGCTGAGGTGCACCCCGGATCCTGACGAACTTCAGAGAACGTTTCTTCCAGCCCCTTCTGTTCACAGATGGAGACGCTGAAGCCCAGAGATGGGAAGGGACCAGCCCAAGTTCACTCGGAGAACTTGAGAAGCCCCCCCGCCCCAGGCACCAGGCGCTAAGAATTATCCTGCACCTTACCGTTCCCTGCTGGTGTTGGGAGGCCCCCCCCATAACCAAGCCACAGGCTTTTATTTTGCCGTTAAGATTCCAAATTTCCTTCCGTCCTCACGCACTAGACACTTGTGCAGAAGATCTTGTCAAAATAACAGTACATCTCGTTTTAGGCATCTCATCAGATAGGAGACTCTCCGCCAGGATCACTGGCCTCTCCTGATGTGAATTCTGGCTTCAGTGGCTCATTAGCTGGTGTTCTTGGCCCAGTCCCTCAACCACTGAGCAGGTTTGTTCATCAGTAAAATGGGAATAACAATATTCATGAAAGGGTTATATTATAGGCCGGTGCTAACACAAATCTAATAGGGGCCGCAAAAGCAAGTCACATATGTAATCTGAAATTTTCTTAGTAACCACTTTTTAAAAAGGTAAAGGAATCAGGTGAACCCAAGTACTTGACATGTGTGCATCGTTTTTAATTTTTATAATTTGTTTCATTTAACCTAATATATTCAAAATATTATTTAAATATCGAATCAATATACAATTGCTAATGAGATACTTGGACGTTTGATTTTCACTCCAAGTCCTCAGAATCTGGGGTGGATTTTGTACTTAGAGCTTATCTCAGTGTGGACTAGCCACATTTCAAGTGCTCAATGGCCACATGTGGCCAGTGGCTACTGTGTTGGATGGCACTGTTCTAGGCCTTGATAAGCGTTCTGAGCACATGGCTCTATGTTTTAAGTCTGTGCAGTTACACCTGGTCTGGGGCAGACCCTCTTCATGTAGCTGGAAGAAAATCTGCTTGGAGCCCGATGGGCGTGGAGGGTCTGCCTTCGGGCTCAGCCATGGAGGTGATAAATCTCCAGTTCTTCCCTGCTCTGAGCCGGTCACTGGGTGCCTTTGAAAACTCTCCCTCCCCAGATTCATTTCCTCCAGGGTCACACGCAGAGCTTTGGCATGCTTTGCAAATATTTGTGTCCATCTTGTCCTTGGTGTGGCGGGAGTGTTCATAACAATTCACAATAGCCTGAAGTCCAATCAAGACCAAGAGTGGAGAGGAGGGTGAGGTGACAGGGAAGCTGGAGGAATGGTGCCCTCCCTTCCCTGGGGGACATGGGGCCCTGGGCTCTGGTCACCATGGCACCTGGATGCTGTCCTTGCTTCCCAGTGTAGACCATTGCCTCGCTGCACCTGGCTTGACTCTGTGGCCTGAACAGAGACGCTGTCTTTACAAGGGAGCTCCACCTGGGGGGCCAGTAGCTATGTTTGATCCTTTTTTGGGATTAGGGGTGCAAATGTGCAGGGGCTGTGCTCAGAGACACAGCCAGGGTTCACCCACAGGGGGCTGAGATGGGAAAATGGGGCCACTGTCTGCCTGGGTTCTCCCAACAGCAGTGGTCCCTGGGGTTCAGGAGGAGGGCCAGGGGTCTGGGCTGGGCCACAGTGGGAAAAGTGGGTGGGAGAGCTTAGACACTGGGGCCCTGGGTTCCCAGAGAGCCTGGGGGTACTCTCCCACTCTCCCTTTACCACCCACGCCCAGACAGTTCCTCACTTTCTCCTGGAAAGCAGTGGTTGAGGGCCCAGAGCTCTGCCCTCCAACGTCCCACGCTCAGATTCTGACTCTGCCTCCTACAGAGTGACTTCAGCACGTTGGCAAGCTGTCAGCAGCAGTGTCCCCATCCACACGTGGGGTAAGAGCTCTCTTCCGGGGTCTCCTGAGGATTGAATGAGGCAACTCATAAGCACGGCACATACACACACACTGAAGAACTACTACACACATACCCTCAGCAGCCCAAACGCTGCACGCCCCTGCGCAAACAACTGGAGCGTTTCCCTCCAGGCCAGCCGACCATATCCCAACCCCCAAAGCATTTCACACCCACAAACACATGTACCCAACAGCCAATGTGCTTCACAAGCACACACACACACACACACACACACACACCAAGAGTTTTCACCCCCTGTTGACCAAAGCACTTCACACACACACACACCAACAACCAAAGCACTTTACACGTGTGCGTGTGCACACACACACCCCCCTCAATAATCAAAAGGGTTTCACATGGCCACCCAATATCAAAGCATACACACACACACCAATAACCGAAGAGCTTCACACACATACACACTCCAACAACCAAAGGGTTCACACATCCCACTCACACCTTCCCCAACAACCAGAGCACTTTACACACACACACACACACACACACACACACACACCCTCAAAGAGTTTTACTCTCCCAACCAAGGTGCTTCATACACTGCTCCCCACAACCAAAATGCTTTACTCATATCTCCAATAACCCAAGCTCTCTGTGTAGACACCCCCCCCAAAAGAACACCCCAAAGCACTTTGATTTGTTTGCTGCAGCAGCAGATACTTGAACACCAAGACGTTGGGCTGCGACTTTCTTTTCAGATTAATGAGCAGAGAAAGATCGAGGGGGGGCAGAGAATGGCGGGAGAGAGCAATTACACCCAAATCTTTTCTCTGTTGATTAGGGATTCCTTCTCCAGCCTGCTTTGGCTCCAGCTAAATCTTTTTCTAATGAGATGTGGCTTATCCAGATCAGAGCGCTGAGAAAAAAGTTGCAATTAACTTTAAGAAGAAAAGGAGTGAGTGAGAAAGGAGGGGGGCAGGGAAGGGGCTGGGCTGGCGGGCAGAAAGAGTGGGTGCAGGAAGGAGGCTCTCCTGCAGGGCCAAGGGGCCCAGGCCCAGCCCCATCTGGGCCATCCACCATTTTGGATTCCAGAGCTTAGGAAAAATCCTTTGTGACCCCTATGCCTGCCTGGGTCAGGCCTTTCAGCCACTCCAGACTCAGATCAAGGGTTGGGAGTGGTGGGCATCCTCAGGCCTGAGCCTCCTCCCCTCTGCACCCCAAACACCTGGTGGGGATGGTGGGGAGGGTGGACCCTCTCTCAGCTGCATCTCTTTCACACCTGAGCTCTTCCTTCTGCCCGCTTACCCCTGGGAAGACGTGGGGCCCTCGGCTGCGTGCCAGGAACCTCCACGACCCCAGGTGTCAAGTCAGCACAAACTTCCAGAACCACGGGGTCAGCTCTCCCCCCGGCAGCCAGAAGCATTGGTGCTGGAGTGAGAGTGCCGCAGCTGGGGTCCCTCTAACTCACTCGTCATGCCCGTCTGGGAATCGGCCTCCAGTTATTTTCATGAGCCACTTCGAAGGGCAGAGAGGGTCTGGGATTGAAAGAGACATTTCATACAGAAATGGTGAAAATGCTGAAAGCTCCCAGAAGCAACATAGATTTACCTTCCTTTGCTTCTCTGTCCATAGATGCCGGCGTGGCCAAGCAGCAACCGTAGAAGCCGCTTCCTCTCCCTGATGCTCAATTTCTTCCTCTGTTGAGAAAAATAAAGACGAGGGTGTGGGCAGCAGATCTCCAGGGGCTTTGCCGGTCCTGATGCCCCGAGATGGGTGGGAACATGGGCTGACTTGGCAAGTCCTGGTCGGAGGGGTCACACCGGTCCCCTGGCACCCACGGGACATATACTCATCCCTCCAAGTTCTTATCCACGCAGAGGCTGGTTTCTGCCTGGTTTGGTGATCAGTATCCAGCAATGCCTGAGGGCGGCTTTCGCCAAGCTTGAGACCTCTAACCCGGTGCTTGTGGTGGGGTCTCAGGTAATAACTTGACATCTGTGTGCCAGCCGAGCTGGGGACCCCAAACTTGCATCAGAGGGAAATAGGAGAGGTGGGGTGGATGGAAGGGCAGGAGCAGGGCTGGAAGGAAGGGCCAGAGCAGGGCTCCATTCTCCACTCCCTTTAGTCACACACAGCCATCTCTGCTCAAAGGGCCGAGGCGGATCATCCCAAACTGGATGCCTTCATTCCCTTATCCACAGCACATCCTTTCCCCACCCCACGAACCTCCCTGTGCAAATCAGAAAGGATTTTTATTGCACTGCTGGTGACTCAGTGGGAAAAAGTGAATCTGGGGCCTCTGAACCGCACCTCATCCAATGAGTTTGCTCAGTTCCCAAAGGAGAAGGGCCTCTGAGCGTCAGTGGCCACCCAGAAACACGGTTCCCTCAGGAGGATATTTGGGTAACCCCTTACCTAATAAGCTGTGGAGATCACACCAGGCCAGGGGACAGATGAGCTAAGCCCATTTTTCCTGTGTCTAAGTTCCCGAGAGGCCAGCCTCTTCCACAGCCTTAAGACCCAGGAATTCCTTAGAGTCTGGTTCCCTGGGTGCCTGGTCAGCTCTCCTCTATGCCTCTTCCTTCCACCGTGTTCGCTGCTGGACACAGTCCTGGCTTTCTCCTATCTTTCTCTGGCTGTTGCCGATCTAATAAGCCTATGTGCTAGAAATACTAGCTGGAGTGCTAAGTTAGAAATGCTCTTAAACGTATAGTAAGGTCAGATGAAGGGGAAAAAAAACAAAACAGAAAAAAAAACCACAACTCAGGAAACAAAACACAAAACCCCGAAACAGGAATCGGACCCAGGAGGGCAGATGTAGACCGACCAGGAAGTGCTGGCCCGAGGCTTAAATGAAACAGCTGAAACAGCCGTCACCATTGTTCTAGGCTGAAAACAGCCTTTGCAAACTCCAAGCGGCCCAGGCTCAGAAAGCAGATGTTAGTAATTACAGCACATGAAACGAAGGGCACAGGATTAGGCAAGTGACGAAAAAGAAATGGTACTAGTAGATTTATAACTCGCTCAGGCAAATCTGTTCGGGCTGGTGGGGGTGGGCAGGGCGGCCCTGCTGCAGATGCCCCCACCCACTCCCCTTCCTAGTGTGGCATGTGGGCTTCTGGGATGTCTCTGAATCAGGGGATTGTTTAGATGGTTTTAGGGTGGTGGGCCGTGGAGGCCTTTCCCAGCTGCCTTTCCGGGGACCCCAGGCCTTCAGGCCACAGCCTATTGCCTCTGATGCAAAGGAAAGAGATAAAATGCCCAATACCCAACCCAAGTACCAGAAGGGGATCTCTGGGCAGACGAATCCTGGCGTCGGACGGCTCGCTGGTGAACAAGGACGCGTGGACACAAAGCTGGGCATCCGTCCCTGGAGCTCTTGCTGTACCAAGGGATTCACGTTTAAAATCCAGGAGCTCAAGTTCTTTGCAGCTGAAATTGATTCACACTTTCAAGTCAGCCAGCTCCCCAGCGCCTTGGAGGAGGCAACGGAGCGCTGGGAGAATGTTAGGGCAGTTGAAGAAAGTACGCAGAGCAAGTTTCTTGGGCTAATTACATTAAATAGAAAAGGCAGAGTCTTCACATGTTTTCTGAACATTCCTTGGTGCTTTTCCATGTGAGCCTGCATTGTAAAAAGCAAAACAAAACACACACTCACATCCACCCCAAATCCTCCCATCCCGCCACCCCCCTGGAAAGGACGTCTCCAGGAAAGGTTAGAAAGAAGGTAAAGCATGTGTTTGCCATCTTTACGCCTGATATGGAAACCATATGCTTAAATACACTAGCAAACATACTTAATATAACACTCTCTTTTATTAAATGTGGTTTTATAAACGCTCTCCCCAGCCAGGGCACCTTGGCTGTGCTGGAGGCTGGAACTTGGCAAAATAATCTTCCCGCTGTTACATCTATTGATACACATTTTTGGAAAATGAGTCTCGGACCCTCGGAAAATAGACTGGTTCTGATTATTATTGCAAGTGGGAAGGGGCACATGAGGGCATCTTTTTTCCTCTGATAAATTAAAAGAACTGTAACGGGTGCTTTCTGCAACCTGTAAAGGGCAGAGCCATCTGTGATTCATTTAGCAGCTCCTTACAGAAGATTTATTTGATTAATTCGGTCAGAAGAGAGAGAATATGGATTTTCCCCCACTCTGAAAGGCACATACGCACTCACACATGCACACATGCACCCACCCATGGGTAGACATCCCAGGAATGAAAAATGACTAATCGTGTTACTGGAACTGGCCAACTTGGGGCCCCGGTGCTGAGATAGCAGGCTCCCACCCTGCCGATGGGAGGGCGGATTTCAGAATGGATTTCATATCCTCCTGCCCAATGCCACCAAAGAGTGATCTTAGAGAAGAATCCCATGAATCACGGGTTGCTTTTATCAGGTATCGATTACTGGTACCGGGCTCCGTGCTGAGCGCTTGGCACGCACGACCTCGTTGCCTGGTTGCAAGGACCCCTCTGCTTTGCAGACAGGGAGAGGGAGATACCCCCTTCCTAGCAGTCCTTGTTCAAAATGACGTTCACTTTTTTCAGACGGTATTTGGCTTTCTTCGTCCTCCATGCCTAAACCGTGCAGACAGAGGCTACAAATCTACATTCGTCTCATAGTGCATAATCATGAAAGAGGTCGTCCGCTTTGACTGTGCCCCATGCCCTGTGGGTTCCAGTTCAGTGTTGACAGAGAAAAACTCTTTGGGGGACTTATTTCTAGCCTCAGAAAGGGGGCCTCTTCTGGCCTTGCTTGCCCCTACCTTGCATGGCCTAACCCTACAAGCAGTTGTCTGAAGACCACAGCCCTTGAAATAGGTCCTTGGAGGAGGCACAGAAAATAGCACAGTCAAGAGGAATCATAAAAACCTTACAAGTTCGGAGCCAAAGAAGACTTAGGAGATCAATGTCAGCAGTGGCAAATATATGGCAAGGAAAGGACACCCTCCTTCCCGTGGTCCTGGCAGACATTGCTAATCGATCCCAGTTCTCGCCTTCCCTCAAACTCTCAAAATCCTTCTGAGCACAGTTCTCCAGGCAGCCTCTACCAAAAGATCAGAATTAGGGCAGGAGTTGAAAGCTGTTTGCAGTCCCTTCCAGTCAAATGTTCCATTTTGTGGCAGGAGAGACAGGGGCCCAGAGAGAAATCAGCTACAAAGCCAGTTAGGGAGACAGTGCCCTGACTTCCCTGCCCACTAGTCCTTGAGTCCACACCAGTGGGACTGCTGGAAGCCAAGGCACAATGGGTCATAAACCTGTGTTTTGCTGGGTATGCTCTCACCCCCCACCCCACCACCCCCAAAGAACGTCAGTGACGCTGCTCTGCAGACAGGATAAAATGTGTCCCCTAGAAGGCTGCAGAAGATTGAAATCTCTCTGGTACTTTAAAATAGTTAACTCCTGGGGCGCCTGGTGGCTCAGTTGGCTAAGCGGCTGCCTTCAGCTCAGGTCATGATCCCAGGGTCCTGGGATTGAGCCGTGCGTTGGGTTTCTTGCTCAGCAGGCAGTCTGCTTCTCCCTCTCGCCCTGCCTGCCGCTCCCCCTGCTTATGCTCGCTCTCTCTCTCTGTGTCAAATAAATAAATAAAATCTTAAAAAAAAATAAAATAAAATAATTAACTCCTAACCTGGGATAGGGTGGGGCATCCTGAACCCACAATATTTTACAGTCTGGAGAAAGAAGTAGAAGGTTTCACTCTGGAAACACTAGGGTCAACGGACACCCCCCACTCCCAGGCTTTCCACTTCTCTCTGCTTGCTGGACCGCAGGAAATGCCTACCTCAAAGGCAACTAGCACTCAATAGGCTGAAGGCATAGACTGCCTGTCCCAGGTGACGGTCACACCTTCCTCAGACTTTTCAGTTAAGTGGAATTTCTCTGTGGGAAGAATAACAATTCTTGAAGGGGAGGAGGCATCTCCAAGTTTGGAGGTTCTCTCCGAAACCCCTTTCCTACTGGTCCTTTCGCAGACCCATCTTAAATGTTTCTCAGCCCAGTGTGGCCCAAGAGGGGATTTGGGCTCACTACCTTGTTCTGCTGAGTCTGATTTGATTTCCATCAAAGAAGCGAGGCTGAGGACCAGGACTAGTTTGGAGAATCAGAGGGAATTGGATACACCACATATTTTAAAGGGAGGCAGTCACAGTGTGTTGAATACTGAGTCTAGCCACTATCCCATTTAGCAAGGTTTCCCGTTGGATCTTTAGGGGACCTGCTTAAAGAATGGGTAACAGTTGTATGTGACTTGCATCTCACCTACTGGGTGGCTCTTGGGTGTTTCTGCAATTTTTGAAAAGGTTTGAAAACACTTTGTTTAAACATGCCTCCTACCATCTTGTTTACACTATGAATTTGTGATTCATAGTGAAGAAAAGTTTGCTAACTGAATCATACTCTAGCCCAGCAGAGCCTCTTGAAAAGATCACAGATATTGAATTAATGAGGTCCTGAATAATGAGGATTTAACAGGGCTCAAATGACAGCCCTTGAAGGGGTTTGTTGACCAAACGTCATTTGTTGAATAAAGGTATTTGTTGGTATTGCAAAGTAGTTTTCTGGAATGTTCCTGACTGAGGGAGTGATTGAACAGGCTGGAGAAGGAGCCAAGTTTGGGTGGGGGTCAGAGTAGAGGTGGGGGTGAGGAGTGGGGAAGTGGGCGGTGAGGAGGAGTGGCACTTGGAGCACCATTTTGGATTCCAGGAAGGGATAAATGAGCGGGCTGAGGTATGTATGAGTTGCCTCTGAAGACCCTAATAAAAAGAGGGATCAGATACCATTGGGAATTACAAACAAACTCAGTGGCCAAGCAGGGAGTCACTACCTGTGTGACTTTGGGTAAATTGGGTAATCTCTCTGCACTTTAGTTTCTTTCTTCATAAAATAAAGGTAATAACAGCACTTACCTCATAGTGGTGTTGTGAGGATTAAGTAAGATGAATCACTTAGAACACGGATTGACAGCTTAGTATCTAGAAAACTTTTATCTCTCACACTGATGAATGGATAGACAAAATGTGGTATATCCATCCCTGCAATGGAATAGTATTCACTCCTAAAAAGAACTGTAACATTGATACATGCGACTGTGTGGATGGACCTAGAAAACATGATGCTGAGTGAAAGAAGTCGGACACAAAGGCCACACATGGCATGATCCCATTGATATGAAATGCCCAGAAGAGGCAAATCTATAGAGATGAGAAGTAGATTCATGACAGCTTTGGGCTGGTCGGGGAGATAGATAAGTAGTGACGTGATAGTTAAAAGGGTTCAGGGTTTCTTTATGAGGTGCTGACAATGTTCTAAAACGGACCGTGGTGATGGTTGCACATAGCTGCGAATATACCGAAAACCATCGAATTGTACGCCTTAGATGAGCGAATTGTATGGTGTGTGACTTATATCTCAATAATGCTGCTGAGCAAAAAAACCTATCTGATGTTGTTTGAGTGAGTGTGGTTGTAACAGAAAATGGTGGTGCCTCTGACAGCAGGGGTGTCCTTGCCCCAGGAGAGACATTCAGGTTAAAAAACCCAAAGCGTGTCTGGGGGCCAGACTTGACCTCAGCTTCCCCACCTGCTAGAAGAGATAGAAGCTCCCCCCTCAAATGGCTGTTGGAAGGAAAAATGAGGTAATTCATGTTTTGCCCTTAGCATGGAGCCTGGCATGTCCCAGGTGCTGAGGAGGCAGCAGTGGGCATTGCCACTATTCCATTAGAGTCTAGAATTCCGTACTGGAAGGGGTGGGGGTGGGGGACAATCTGGTTGGAAGGGGAGGAGTGACTAGGGGTCATGTCCCGAAGCTGTAACATTTGCATGTCAAGCCTACTGCATCGACTTTGGTTGTGGGCTACAATATCGAGACATTTGATTTGCAGTTTTCTAAAGATGCTCATATTCGGGCGCCTGGGTGGCTCAGTTGGTTAAGCGACTGCCTTCGGCTCAGGTCATGATCCTGGAGTCCCGGGATCGAGTCCCGCTTCGGGCTCCCTGCTCTGCGGGGAGCCTGCTTCGCCCTCTGACCCTCCCCCCTCTCATGTGCTCTCTCTCTCCTCTCATCCTCTCTCTCAAATAAATAAATAAAATCTTTAAAAAAAAAAAAGATGCTCATATTCACACTTTTCATAAGGTTGAGGGCATGTCTATATCAAATAATAACACTATTTTTTGTTAAATTTGAAGTGCCTTTGAGGGGAGGCTGATGAAGATTATAGAGGAATTGGAATCTCCCTCATTCCTGCAAGCCACCCATAGGTGCCATCACCTCTGTTAGAATTAGGTATTTAAGACAAAGGCCATGTACAAAGAGCACTGAACAGAGTCCAGTGCTGGACTCTGGGACTGACTCAGCCAATCCCAACTGTTGGATTTAAGGAAAATAATTTGACTTCAGTTTTTTTCCATTATAAGCTGAGAAGATAATGGGTTCAATTTCTGTCTTTCAAGCAAAAAACTTCAGCATCCGTAATAATGGCCAAGGCCTTATTGCTAGCTGGGTAAGCCACTCTGGC